AAAAAAAAAAAAGAAAAAAGGAAAAATATATTTTACATATTTTGGTATGATCATAAGTGGAGTCATACCCAATGGTGAAGGGTTTTCTTAAGACTCATTTTAGCTCAAGGATGAATACTGTACATGTTTCTTCTCAATTGTCTCTCTAGTGAATAAAGAGAAATCAGAGAAAAACGGAAAAGCCAGAGGCAGGGAGGTGGCGCTAAATGAATGTTTAGTTGCTTGTGTAATTTTAGTTATATGTATGAAGAGAATTTAAGCAAGGATTATAAACATAATGGAATTACATGTTAAGTGGAAGATAATGTTTTTTTCCCTTTTTTTTTTTCAGTTTCTCTGTGTTCTATATATTTCTATCATAGTTTTCAAGGTCCAAGGTTAGGCTAGATGATATCCCTATATGTACATTTTATGAGAATCTTTATTTGTTATGTGTGACTTGTAACATCAGTGTTCTCATAGCAAGTATGTTTTCATAGTGTTAATTTCCTGTATGCAAACTTGAATTATGTGATGTGTGGATTGCCTTGCCATTTTCTACAGCCTTACCTTCATGAATCTCGGCATTTACATGCTATGAGAAGAGCAAGGGGTTGTGGGGGTCGTTTTCTTAACACAAAGAAACTCAATGAGGAATCTGCCAAGTCCATAGATGAGAAGGGCAATGATTCTTCTGCACCCCTTTCTACGCAATCGGCAAGCTCATCAGCCTTAGAACCCTTACCTTCTGGTTGTGCAACAAATGTGAATTCCTCCAATAATCAGCAAGAAAGAAAAGGGTCCTCGGTCCAGGATATGCACCAACAACAGACCTACTCCAATGGCAATGGCTGCTACCAACATAATCAGGGATTTCCATTGTCCAATTTTCATTCCTCTCTCTCAGAAGAGAGAGCGGAAGAAGGAGACTATTTGGGCCAGCAGAGGGGAAGTATTCCTGTGAATCAGGCCCCAAATAGGGCCCTCACCATACAGTGAAAGCCGCCCCTTGCATGGGGTTGGTCGGTCTCCCCAGCGTCACTTTACTGGTCATATCTGCTACCTCTGTAACCAATTTAGTGGTGGTGGTCTTGCATTCATAATTTTGTAGCTCTGTGGAGAGGTTTCTCTCGTGCGTGGCTCCTTACATCTTCCATGGAAGAGGTAATAGAACGTGGCACTGGAGGCATGAGGCCCCCCACGTAACCAGGGAGGGAACCCACTATTATCTGGTGTTTCTCAGGCAATTCATTCTTGGCTTGGTATTTTTGCTTTTGTTTGGAGGGGAATAGGCAGTAGGAATGTATTGGTGTGATGTGCCACTTCTCTAGTCCACCATCCACCCACTGCCACTTCCCCATGTTATCATGTACAAAGAAAGTAATGTAGTAGACGAAGCAAATGTGAAGGATAATGAACAAAGATCTGTTTTTCCTTTCATCTCTGTCGGATTTGAAGATTCCGAACAATTAGAACCCAGGTTTGTGAAAATGTCTCTGTTTAAAAGATGAAGCCTCGTTGGCAGTAGATCTGTTTTCTAAAATGAATGAAAACCTTGCTCCTTTGTTATATATGCACTTGTGCATGTATGAAACATGTACGCGTATGTACACTACACATACAGTAGAACAAATTGCCACTCTGGTTACCATGTTGATTCTGAACTTCTGATGGTGATTTTAAGAAACAACAATCAGTGGAGTGGTCAGTGTTATTATGCCTACCTACCAATGTGTGGTTTGATTGATCCGTTGGTACTTGGTCAACTCGAAAGATGGTCCAACAATCAGTGGAGTGGTCATGTTTTGCTGTTGATCACTTTGTGTGTGTGTGTGATTCTGTAAAATCCCCTTCAATGTGAATGTGATTGGTGTGTACCTTTGTCCTTAAGGTGCAGGGAGGGAGCAAGGGGGTTGTTAATAACCCAGTCAGTCTTTAGAACACAGAGACTCTGGTGCCAGGGCCTGCTAATGTTCTGTTCATGAGAACGGGGAGGGGGGTCCACTGAACCTGAAAAAGAGGATTCGTACCCCACTTGCCTGATGCCTAGCTTAGGTTCCCTACTATAGACCTGAAAACTGAAAAGGCTGAGCTTCAACTTGCAGTCTCAGTGTTCGTAGAGGTCAGAGTGTTTCTGAGTTCTCAGTTCAACTTCACACGGAATACCAGTAGACTAAAGAGAATCCCATCAAAAACAAGAAAAAAGGAACAAGTGGGAGGTAAAAAGGTCGGCAGTCGTGGAAAAATACAAGCCGCACGAAGAGAAGACCCCCCCTTGTCTCGTGCACCGCAATTGACGACCCAAGCCAGTCGGCCAACTTCCCAAGACCAAGAGTAGTAACAGCTGGCTACAAGACACACCTCATCGTCGGTTCCACCACGTCCGACTTCGTGGAGGCAACAACTCGTAAGAAGAGCTCTTCTAATTCATTCTTTTTCTTTCACGACTGTTGTCCAGGTGCCGGTGGCATGGGGTCCTTAGTCCTGGTGGGGCCTGTGACAGGGTGCGTTCACAACTGTTGTCTTCGAGTTCTTTCGAAGCCACACTTCAAAATCATCCATCTGTATTCTGTAGTGATGTTATGCTTCAAGTCAAGTGTCAAATTGGGTTTGTGGAAAGCTGGCGTTTGAACGCTGGCGTTTAAACAACTGGTGTTTGTTTAACTTTTTTACTTTCTTTTTGTTTTAAATGGTGAAATGGTCCCAGTCCCAGAAAAAAGCCTATTGCCAACCAGGAAGCACTGAGCACCGACTCGAAACTCGTCCATATCCTCAAGCATCCGATGTCATTGTCCATTAATTCAAGGAATTCTCGTTTCAGGGCCGAAACATCAAACCATGACGAAGAAACTCCTTTGGTTTTGTGTTTGTTTTATTTTAGGTGGAAACCAATTATCAAATGCTAGCCAAGCCGGCATACGGATTCAATCCTTAGTCAAACATTTCATTTCTTTTTCATATCCAGTGGCTGGCTCATTGCTAATTATCCTTCCAAGTCTGCCAGTCAGGTCAAAACAATTTTTAAGCAGCCAAAAACCCACTTAAGATCAGGTTTGTATAGTTAATTAGTATCACTGTTGCATTCATATTTTATTCTCCTCTTTTAGCAAGGATCGAGGAAATATCTAGAAAGCAGGATACATATGTATGTACTACGTAGCCCATGGACCATCAGCCACAATCTCCATACTAGGAAAAAGAAAAGCAAATTTCTCTGTCAGCCTAACTCTACTACAGTAATAGAGGCCAAGAGCTAGTTTCTTATCTCAGCAATAAACAATAAAAAATGTGGGGGGAAATAGAACAGCATGTGAATTAATTTGGGATTTTTTTCTGGTTTATTGCACTGCAATAAGAGATATATCACCAATCCTCACTCCTTGTGTTAATAATCCAAAACCGAAAGCCGAGAGGCCACCGTTAGTACTAACTAGTTCAATGTCAATCCGCTCAATATCATGAAGATGTTTTAATCCCATATTGACCATCTGCAAATGGGTCGATTGCATACATGTTTATTCCTCTTGTCCGGCCTGGGGCCCCTCCTTTGATGGAAGAAACGTCAAGCACAAACCTGCTCAACCCACATAGGATGAGAATTTATTTGGATATCAGAATCAATTTAGTGGTGGCACAGTTTAGCTATGCTTACCAGTTCTTCGATGTCTTTCCTAGTTCAGAAGCTCTGCATTGTATCAAGACTTTCTGATCCATTTCTGATTCTGAATCTCCCAAAGGAGCATCAACCATCTTTTGAGCTGGATGGGATTTTTAAGGTCTCAGTAATTGAATTCTCAGAGAGGGTTTATACAGCAAACAGAATACAAAAGAAGAATTATCTCATTGGAACTAAACAATACAAGAGTACTCACATTGTTGTTGGGTGGCCTCCATGCTCACATCTAGGCCCAACAGTTTCTACATCAAAGATTCATATTCAGTTATCAGGCCAAGTGCTTAGAAGACATTAGCCAACTTGCCAAAATTGACCAAGTTTGAGGTATAAAAGGATTGAAGTATATATGTAAATTTAGTAAAGAAGAAACAAGCACCTTAAGGCTCTGGTAGCATGTTTCCAAGTCATCGTTTACCAAAATATGATCAAAAAGTCCTGAAGATCTTCCTAGCTCAAGCTCTAATCTTGCATTGCAGAGCCGCTTTTGGACCTGTTCCTCTGTTTCAGTGCCCCTATAACAAAGCAAGAGTTTATTTAGACCACTATACCATAATAATTTCAGTCCTGATATTACAATATATTGGACTTTCAGCTGTATGACTAACCGAGCACGAAGTCGCTTCTCAAGCTCCTCAAATGAAGGTGGACAAATGAAGATGAAAACTGCATCAAGAGAACTGACCCTTACGGACCTGGCACCTTGAACATCTATGTCGAGTATGCACCTCTACAATAAAACTGAAGGCATATCAAATGTGGATATAAAACATTTTAGCATATCAGAGATAATAGGTAAGAACACTGTCTGCGCATGAAATTCATGCATATAGTGTATATGGTGACCCAAATGTGTCATCCTAATGCAAGGTTGGGCCATGGATAGGTTATAGTTCAATCCCACACTGTTCCAATATTGAAAATTAAGCCCTATGTTCAGCTGGTTGGAACTTGTTACAGTGTGTGTGCAGTGGTTTAAAATATTGAAGATTAATGATTATCAGGAGGTTCTCCATTTATCTCAAACAGTAATACCTTTCCTGCGTCAGCTACAACCTCAACAGCTTCAATGCTGGTTCCATACAGGTTTCCATGAACAGATGCAGATTCTAAGAACTTGCCATCACGTATTTCCTTCTCCATTATGCTCCTTTCCGTGAAGTGATAATGGACTCCATCCTTCTCCTTGTCCCTTGGAGCTCTGGTTGTGTGGCTCACAGAGAACCCAAACATGGATGGGAATTCCTTCATGAGCTTGTTTATTAATGTTCCCTTACCAACTCCAGAGGGACCACTGATAACTATTGGCTTAGGACTATAACCTCTAACCCCTTTACTCCAAGCAACCACATCCACATTCAAGATCTTCTTCTGCTCTCTAATAAATGGTGTGTCCACCTAACAATAATAAAACAAAGATCTAACAGCTTAGGATTGTGGGAATGGGTCATAAATTTTAGATCACCTTACACTTAATAGAAAATGGCAGGATGTGAACTAGATTATTATAACTGCATAAGATCAAAGTTCATCTGAAATTGTTGGATCATGGATCTATGATAGGTTTAGAACACAAACCTCAAGAAACCAAGCACAATCTTCTGGGGTAGAGTCCCTCTTGAGAATCAAGATTCTTTCCTTGTTCAGAAGCACAGCCGAATGACCCTTACATGGGGTGGGTTTTGTACCTAACACCTTAGGAACACTCCTGCCAATTTTACCATAAATCAGTGATTCCCACTCAATCTAGATTCAAATGTATCAATGCACGAGCAAGAACTCACCATTTCCCTGTTGATTTGTGGAAAACCTTGACGTCAATTGACAAAGTTGAACCATCAGAAGATCCACCAATGACAAACTAAACAAAACACAAGCACTCTCGTTACAAACAAGAATAGGGGAGATTACACCAAAAAAAAACAAAAAGAATATACAATCCTCATGTCGGATTTGCTTACAATCTTTTCACCCAAGATAGTTGCTGTCTGGTAGCCTCTGGCTTCTGAATCAAGCCCAACTGCGAAAACTTCCTTCACATCATCCGAAAAGATTTCTTGAACTTCACCCTGATCGTCAAAACCCAAAATAATTAATGCTCGGTACTAGTGTACAAAAATATCAAAGGATTGGAATTCTACAAAAATACAACAATATCCAAGATCTATCAGTCTACCAAAATTGCATCTTTTATTTATTTTCTCACTAGGTTTATAATGTCAGAAGAAAGTGATAATAGAAGTTCAACCAAAAATAATAATCTCACCATGGAAAATCTAGCTCTCCAATTCAAGCTTCAACCTGACGAAGAGGTGTAAGAGAAGGAAGAGAAGATCAGAAACACAAATACCACCATTTTCCATGGATAATATGGAAATAGAACAGAGCACGAGTTGAAGTCCATTAAGTAAACACAAGAAATAACAGCTAACATTCTTAGAAGTCAAAACATGAAAAGTTAAATGAAAAACAAAAAAGGAAATTCAGAACCCAGATGCCCATATTACAACGAAACTAGATAAGAAAATGTAATTCCACAAAGTAAAATAAAAAAAAAAGGGAGAAGAACATAATGGCCAAGAAAAATAAAAACAGAGGATCTCCTTTCTGTGAAAACATAGGCTATTTATTCTCAGACAAACATATACGTATTTTTCCTAGATTTCACAAAACCATTACCAACCAACGAGGACAATAAAAAGAAATCCAGGAAAACAATGCAAAAGCAACGGCGTGGTGCATCTACTTACCAGGCAGAAAGAAATTTAAAACCCAGTTGAACCTCGATGGGATTTTTTGATTAATGATAGTGCAGAGCTAAAATCAATGACAAGAGTAAGGAAAAACAACAAAAATATGATTTCAATGAGACCAACAACCGCTAAAAGAAGCGAAGGTTTTTTGTTGCTTTCTTCTCTCGAGAGGTGAGTTGCTGTTAAATAGGTCAATAATCAAGCCTAAGCCTTTGAGTCAAAAACTCGAGAGTCCTCTCAATTCGAGTATCTGGGTTTCAAACTTCGAAAGGAATTAGGAAAGAGTGAGTGGAGAAGACTGGAATGGGTCTGAAGAAACACGGTTTGCATTCATGATTTCATGGCGTATATATGTAAGGAGAGACGGAGAAGGGAGAAAAAGGGTCTTCAAGAAAAGCTGTCTTTGTCCCTCCCCTGGCCCTCTTGTCTTTACCTCCTTTTGAGTCTCGTTCAATTCACCAGACCACAAAACCGGACTTCATAGCCCGGGTTTTAGGAAGCTTCCTTTTGGGTCTTTAATTTATAACCAATAGAACTAAAATGCTTCTTTTATAAGCTCGACACCATCTTTGCAAGCTTAGGGTTTCTCTCAGCTAGCAGCCTTTGCACCCCCTACTTTTTAGGGTTTTCTTTTCTCTTCAAATTTATGGTGGGGTGGGGGAGGATATTAGGGAATGAGACTTGGGATACTTAAAAATGAATCTGGACCCTCCATAACTTACAACTTGCTCTATGTGATATAAATCAGGACCCTTCATTGACTAGGTCCCAACAAACACATGGGGTAAGGCAAATCAGGATAATCAGATGGTTTTAAATAAGTCAATGTGGGGGATTATTTGTAGAGTTATGTCTCTCTCTCTCTCAATCTTTATTCCCCATCAAAACTAATCTACTAGGTAGACCCATCAAGTGTAGGTTTGGAGGCTGGAAATATTGGACATGTTAGGACCTATTTGTGAATGGTGTCCCCTGACTAGACCTGGGCTGGGAAGCCCGATGGGCTGGCCCTGGCCTGTTATTAAGTTCGGTTTGATCATAATTTTAGGAATGCAGGTTCGGGCTTTCTCAAAAAATTCCGGCCTGAGCCCGAGTCAAACTTGATACTATATATTAAATAATAAAAATATATTTTATTTAATAAATATATATATATATATATATAATATTTTTTCTTTGTTTTTCTTCTCTTTTTTTCCAAGTAATAATGAGATGTTTATTATTTTTGAGTTTTGAAGGTTTTTAATATAAATAAAACATTTTTTTATTAAATAAAAAAAATTCTATTTTCAAATTTTTGACCGGATTCGGACTCGGGCCTAGACCCGAGCTCCAGGCTTTATATGAGGGATGGGCTCAGGCTCAAGATTTAGGCCCAATGGCTGGGTCGGGCTCAGGCTCAAGCCTGAATGTATTCTGTTGATACATATACAAGCCCGGCTCGAACCCGGCCCAAAAACAAGTCTACCCCTGACCCAAGATTCAGGCTTTGGGATGAGAGCCCGGATGTGGATTACATGATCAGTAGCCGGGGGCTCACCGTGGTCGTACAGCTTTGCATAGTCCGGATCCGGATCCGCTACCCACAATGCTTTCAACATTATGTATGGCGGTACATTTCAATTAGGATTCCAATCACAAGATATACAAGTTTGAGATGTGCGGTTGTAGTTCACATTAGAAGTTATGTTAATACCATCTTGTGTGTGTGTGTGGCAGATCCTGTGTGATTAGCATCATCCCTCATTTCTTTTCCGTTGATTATGAACATTAACAAAATAATGAAGGGATAATGTGGTCCATATACGCATATATTGGGCCAAAATTGGGAAGATACCGATCCAATTAAGGTTTTAGATCCAATCGGGTTATGGCCAAATTTAGTGTATATTTACTGCATTCGGAATCTAAAACTGGATTCAGTCGGAGCAAAGTCCGTTCGAACAGCCATTAGAGCCTTGCATTGGGAATATCTCCCCATGAAATAAAGCATAGAAGTATGGAGATATTCTCAATGCAAGGCTATAAAGACTGTTCGAACAGTGTTCAAATGGGCTTTGCTCTGATTGAAACCGATCTCTCGGAATCTTATTTGAGTGGAAGATTGTTATGGTACTTAGGTTGCGTTTGGAAGAGGTGTAATACACTTATGATGTTTTACACTGAATCATATATATAATGATCGTTGCATTTTAAAAATCGATGTAAAAATATGTAAAGTTTTACATCAATAAAAAATTTAAAGGTGATAATGTTTTACATCTATTATCTATATAAAATTACACTCCATCCAAACACACACGAACCTGAACTGGAGTGTAGTTTTACGTCAATAATAATTACACTCTTTTACCAAATACATACAAAAGCAAACCGATGTAAATTGTTAATGCCTTTTCTTGGTGGTTTGTAAAATTACACTCCATCCAAACACATGCAAAATTACACTCTTTTACTAAACACATACAAAAGCGAACCGATGTAAATTATTAATGCTTCTTTTACGTCGATAATTTTACATTGGTTCTTGATTTATATCGCATCCAAATACAACCTTAAGCTCAGTTTAAAAGAAATACAAATACAAATATTTACAGTCCAAATATACAAAATACAAGATTTTACACTACATATTTGTATTTATACTCCTTCCAAATGGAGGAGCCTCGGTACATGCTCCAACTTCTTGTGCTCGGCTCAGATTGGGCCGATGTGATTGTTAATGCCTTTTCTTGGTGGTTACCTTTTATATGAAAAAAAGAGGAATTATCTATACCCGTATAAATGATGACTATGCTCAAAATAAGTTTGGATCATATCTTATTCAAATTCAAATTTGATCAAGTAAGAATTGAATTCGGATACTTTCTTTGATGTTAATAAATTGGATCAAATTAGAAAAGTGGATCCAAGGATCGGAATATGTCATTACAATTTGATCAAATCCATAAGTTATGAAATATTATATATTATATATTATAATTGTAATTACCATGGTAAGGCAGAAGTTGGTCAATCTCCGAAGGTCCGAAGATGATGGCATAAAAGAGAGAGAATGTGAGGAAGAGAGAAGAGAAGAGAAGAGAAGAGAAAAGGGAGGATCCCCTTGTGAGAAACCCTAGGTCAGAGTTATGATTGTGTTGTCTCTTTGAGAATGATTGTTCACCCCTTTTTATAGAGAGAAAGCTAAGGTTATCAAGGAAGAAGTTCTTTCTTATTAGGAAAGGGAATCATTTCCATTAGGGAATGAGTATTCTATCCACATGCGTAACTTAAAGGTGTACATGTAACCGGTATCTATTCATGTTATATCGTGATTCTACAGTTTTGTAATGGTATCGGATTCATCGCAGCTTTATGCATGTTTGGGTTCATTGGAAATCCATGTGTGTTTGGGGTTCATCACAAACCAATGCATGTCTTAGTTTTATCGCAGATTCGTGCTAGCCAAAGTTTATCGTGACTTGCCCCAAGTATGAATTCATCGCAATTGCAGATCTACAATGAATTCATCGCAAATGTACGAGGGGTTCTAAATTCATCGCAAGCATCAACATAGTGTTGGTTTGACAACTTTTATACTCTGAGGGTCTTAATGACCACTATATACTTACAATAATATTATTATATTATATAAATAATACAATTTTATATTAATAAGCTTTTTTTTTACTCAATCCAAATTGAATCGGATTCAAATCATAGTTTTGAAAATAGGACATAGTCTTATAAAATTCAGAGTAGTCGAATTTCTTATGGAATTGGATAAGATATAGCCTTTACCTAATTTGATCCCATCCGTAATCCGTTTGCAGCCCTAACCAACAAATTTAATTTAATTTTTGGTAAATGCTAGTAGCATAATACATGGGAATAATGTTTTATATGATACAAGAATAATCCGTGACCACACAACTTCCCTTGTATTGCCACGTGTGTGTGGTGGTACTTTTTTTATCTCAACTTGCATGAAATGAGAGGCTGAAGTGTTTGAATAGCATATAGAATGAACACTGTACTGTTAGTATATTAAAAGATGCATCAGATTTTCAGTTTGTTAATTGATGTGTGTCTCCTTCTTAATTTCAATAACGTGGATTATTAATTACAAATTAAACATTATTTATCTCCTAAATTAGATAGGAAATTAAACCCAAATTTACTAAATGAGTAGTGGTTTCTAACCAAAATAGGGGCGTTGTTGCCATGTACTCGATACGCTACGTACGCTATTGTCCATATCAGCTTATTCTCGATCTCTTTTTCTCATGTTGCTTCAACCCCTTTAGATCTAATTTTGTACTTTTAAATTAAAAAAAAAATGAAAAAATGAATCATGGGATTATTTAAACTCACAGTCAATTCAATGTAATTTCTATTTATTTAATTATTTATTTATTGAAGAAACAATATATTTTTATTAAGAAACTGAATGTAATCACTTCTCTATAAATAATAAAACACGGGCATCTTTTTAACATTAGACTCTGCATTGCATGGGCCTCTACTTATATCTGAAAAATAATTAATCAATAAATTGGAATCTTAAACATGATAGTGAATAAGATATTATTTATCAAAATTCATCGGTGGATTTTGATTGGTTAAAACTTTTTCCATACCATATCTTTCCTGCGTCGTAGATTTTTCCATCTAAAAGAGAAACTTTTGGATATCCAAGATCAAACAGTTATAAAGAATGAAGGTTCTTCCTGCACGACACATTACAGCCACGCACGTTTATGAGGACAGCCAAAGTTTTCCCAGCTGTCTTGTTGGAAGACTAGAAATTAAATATAGGGTTCATTAGGATTGCTCATAAGAATGCCCAACCCGACCAAATCGACCAATCCGAACCGATCCAACCCGAGTCAGCCGAGTTTTCATCAGTACCGGTCGGTTTCGGGTTGGGCAAATATATAAACCGATATATCGGGTCGGTTTCGGTTTTCCTGTGTGAAAACTGAAACTAACCCAACCCGAACCGAACTAGTAGACTAGTTCGGTAGTTCCTAGTTTGAGTAGTTTCCTACTTAAYTATAACTAGTCTTCTACTAGAACTAGAAGGCCCATTATGCAATTACAATTAGAATAGGCAATCTATCATAGTTTCTAACTTTCTATAATCTTTTATACCAAAAAAGCAATCAATTAGGCAATTACAATTAGAATTCAATTAGGTGTCATTTTGTACAAGAGCAAAACCGAAACCGACCCAACCCGATTCAACCGACCAGGTCGGTTTGGCCTATCAGTGGATCGGTTTCGGTTTCCACCTCAGGTAACCCAACCAGGTCGGGTCGGTTGGGAAAATCCCAATAAACCGACCCAACTCGACCCGTGAACACCCCTAGGGTTCAGCTATGATATGGAAAAGATATGATATCCGAAAAACACTTGACCGATCAGCTAAAACCATAGACTTGATAATGAATCATGTGTTATTTATC